TGTCTAAATGGGGTGGTACATGTGATATTCAACTTGGAAAAGGTCCAATAGAAGTTGTTTTAAGAGGCAAGTTTTTTAAAATCGACCCGGACAATGAATCAGTCAGAGGTCTGGTTCTCAGGTCGAATAGTCTGACTGTTTGAACCTAATGATTGGCCCGTTTTGACAAATAATCTAATTTTGAAGAAAAACGAAACTGATCACCTAACTTATTCCCAATTTTTCTGGTCTGACCATCCAGTCTGATCCGGTTTTGAAAACCATGATAAGAGGGTAAGGAAATAACACATTGGATGAAGAGGAATATAGGGTGTAATTACCCTCACCTACAAGGGTTGTAAAATCATGTGTGCACAGTATAAGCATACAAAAAGGGATTAATGTAATAACTGGAATAAATAAATAACAAATTATCACTATCAAGCCTAACAGCCAAACAACCTTTAGCATAATTGAAGCTCAGGCCTAACAGCCAAACAACCTTTAGCATAATTGAAGCTCAGTTTGGAAGGAATATAAATGTAAATATATAGCAAAATCTTGTAATTTATATGTATTTATATATTTATATTTGTATTTTGTATTTCTATTCTTTTCAAACTGAACTAAAGACAATTTACCTGAAACTGGGGATTTAGAGTATCAGAGGAGAATTAAATGGAAGGATATTAATAAAACTGAATCAGGAAATATTGGCTATAGAAGGGGAATCTTGTCTTTTTCTCAGGAACAATAAAAAAGCACCAAACACACACACACACAAGAGAATAACCAACTTAAGACTTTGATCTTCAGAGCTTAACAGACCTCAACCGCTCTCATATGGTATGAGCACATATTCGTTCCTATCATAGTCCCATGCTTTTGTCTGATCATTTCTTGATTCTTATATAAAAATCCTAAATTTTAAATCGTAAACCTTAAATTTGTAAATTCTTTTTACCAAAAAAAACGAAAAAAACTTTTAAATTCTAACTCTAAACCCTAGTCTTAAAATCTTAAATTTTAACTAAAAATGTATTTGGTCGGACACATTTCCTCCGATCAAGTAAGAGTCAATAAGTTCGTATATAGTATGGAGCTGGGGGAAGGGGAATAATTTCAACATCTGCATCTGGTTAATAGTAAGAATCCATATTCAAAAATCCAAATGTGATACAAATATACAAATGGATCATCTAAATCCAAAACAATCCAGATGTTGGAATCAGATTTTCTTTGTGTCCATTGACAGCCCAAGTGATATTTATGTCTAAGGTTTTAAGAACCGACCTGGAAATGGATGGCTCGTTTCAATGAAAAAAATTAAAAAATAAATAAAGTAAAGAAAGGTCAAAAACCATTGAATAGGTCGAACGGATCAAAAGTTTGACCACCATGGTCAGCATGTCATTGACCAATTCAATAGTTTTTTGTTAGGGATCAGGTTTGGGATAAAACAGAACCAGTTGCCTAAATGATTCCCAGGCCAAACAGTCCAACTGTCCGAGTCAATGGCAGTTTGAAAACATTGTAACAAATGGTATTTGTTTGTCTAAATGTGAGTACAAATCCAATTAAATTCAATTATTAAATAATCCAAATTTTATATAATCCATTTATAAATAGAGTATATTTAATGATTCATTTGTATCATTCTCCTTCAATTTTGCTTAACAAAGCCCATGCATCATATGGATCCTGACTAATTTTTATCTATACAAAATTAATGTATATCTATTTAGGTTTTTATTGTTAAGTCCATCTCATAAACTTTAATGCAATTTGTACAGTTGGAATAGAAACAGGGTGGAAAATGAATCAAAATTCAAGGGGCTATGGAAGTATTGGTAAATAAAATCCAAAAATTAATAAAAGTTGCTGAGTTGAACTGAAATCTAAATTTCTCTACTAAATGTTGGTTATATTTGTCAAACAGTAATGTAATGTATGCTTTTATAACAATATATGGCGTTCACGTTGAATGTCCAAATAGTGTAAATAAAAAACACAGTTTATAAAAAAAAAAATATATTTTATTCTCCAATAAGTTATCTATCAATTAAGAAAAGGATATAAAAAAAAAGAAAAAAAAAAACTAGATTGCTTAATAGTGAAAGGTATCCCCTAATTTCTAGGTTCCTAAAACAACCAATAATTAAATAAATGGGGCTGGTGTCACCTAGATAAAGATCTCCGGACATGACTCCCCCAAGGAAACAATTTTGGATTCTAATCTGTTTTTAATATGCTATTAACTCCAAAAATTCCAATATGCCTCAATTCTTTAAGCTGTGTTTGTTTGAAAGAAAATGTAGAGAAAGGAAGAGAATCGAAGTACTAAATATAGGCATAAGATTAATAACTTTCCCTTGGCTTTTTTCTCTTATTTTCTGTTAAATCAAACACAGCCTATGTGATTCAAGTTTATGAGACTCTGTATCCTTTTTTTCCTATGTTTTGCTTTATGGGCCACAAAACAGGGGTAGTTCCATCTCCTTAACCCCTCAACCCTAGTGGTACTTAGGGGGTGCAATTTGGGCAGGCCTAGCCGGAGCCTAAACTGGCCCAGCCCAAAATTTTGCATAGGCTACGGGTTGGGTTTGGGCTGGGATCAGGTCTAAGAAATTGGGTTTTTTTATTTTTTGAGTCAGGCTTAGGGCTAGTCCTTAGGTAGTTCATATCTAGCCCGAGCTCGATTCAATTATACACATTCATATATACATATGTATATATATGTAAATTTTGCATATATATATATATTATTTTAGAGTGGATTTATTAATCAACTTGAGCCCGGTCCAAACCCTAGCCCTACTTAAGTGCATCAAATTACAGTATAGGAAGATCAGGTTTGGCCTCAGACTCAGTCCAAGCTTAAGCCTCAAACCCAAATATTTGGGCTAGGCCTAAATTGACCATAAACCTAACCCAACCTATCCGACTTGCATTCCTAGTGGTAGTAGAATTTGATCCTAACTAAGAGCCAAAAATCCTACCAACCAAGCCATTAATCAGTTCAGATAGGGTTGTCCGATTCCCAGCATGAACCATGATAAGGGTTGAGAGAGCCCGATTTTGTATTCTATATATTTGTATTTATAGTCTTTTCAAATTGAGACTTAAATTTTTAACAGCTTAAAATTAATATTTAATTTAATATGTTTGTGTTTGTAAAAATAAGCGTGCAAATTTAACTTATGCCATCAACCATAAGTTTAGTTATGAAACCATGTATACAAAAACATTTATGTGTTGGCTTGTGATTGGTCATATAATGAAGTTGGCACACTTGTATTTGCACCAATTCCGACCTGAAGTTTTTTAACCAATAACAACAACCCGCATACCCATAGAGTGCATATCAGTTTATCACCCACAACCACTTCAATCACTCGCTTACTGTGCTTAGGTAACGTGGGGGAGCCCCGTGCTCCTGCTCATAAAAGCTCAATCCATACAGGCCACAGCATCCCGCATCCACAGGTGAGAATTTATGACATGTTCTAAATGTACACTGAATGCCCGTGCTTTGGGAGAGTTTTGTGGGTAATTGATACTGTTACAATTTTTTCGGGTTAGGGTTGAGATTTTGTCAAATTTTCAATATCCCAATTCAAAGCCAGAACCCAAAATAGTATAAACTGTTAACTCGGATAATTTGCACCTCTACTTACAACGTGGGGTAGTGTTATAAAAGAGAGCGGATTCAATAATCAATACTCCCAACACGAGAACAAAATCTAACTTTTAAATGCAGATAATTAAGGTGGTGTTTGAAATCAGTGCCGTTTTTTGAGAAAATGGTCCCATGTAGGTGTTATGTTAAAGAAAACGGTGCTGGAAGCAACACCTTACTTAGTACCGCTTTTTCAGAAAAACGTTGCTCTAGATCACATCTTGGAAATTGAGAAAGTATAGTCTGAAGCAACATCGTTTTTTGGGAAAATGATGTATTGCTGCCAACAATACAATGACACAATGACATGGCATCATCTTTGACATTAGATAACAAGATCAATGTTGAAAATGTTGCTGCCGGTATTGGTACCAAACAAAACCACTGTTGTTTTTTTCAGAAAATAGTGCTTACAACTTTACATGCCCATCACCCATGCCAAATACCTACTAAGGCTTCATTTGGCATGTCTTTCCATACGTAGCTTGACAATTTATTTTTTGGTCTTTTTCTATTTGGTTGGAAAAAAATATAATTACCAAAAGATGATGTTTGGAAAATATGTGCAATATCCATTTTAAAGTATTTTCAAAAAACTCCAAATAGAACTTTTCGACTTTTTTCATCGTATCTTTGTACAACCAAATGATCTTCAAAAAACTAAAATCTTACTACAAAAACTTAGTCTTTTGGCTGTTAGATATATTGGAAATTTGAAATATCATTCAAAAAAAGACTTGGCAAACGGAATCTAAGGTTTACTTTAATAAATAGATAATTCAGATTCATATGAGACGATATTTTTTTAATGAATTTCCAATGTAATCACCACCGTTCTTATGTTGACCGATTAAGGACATGTGGAACCATTGACTAATTCGGCTAGCTTCAAGTCTCCTTGGAAGATTTTAAATCTCACTCGTGTTCTCCACGTGTTCGGTTTCTATAAATTTAGAAAACCCGAAACCTATCATTTTTACACAGCTGTAGAAGTAATTACCTCACCAGCTAGTTTCCAGCTGGAGAAAAGAATATCTCTGGAATTTCATGGAATGACGATATTACCCTGAACCTCCAATAAAGAATCAACCTGTTGTTCTGGTATTATATAATTTTATAAGGGTATTTGCGTCAAACTATTTAGCTACAAACAGAATACGTGCTCACGGTTTTAGAATCTAAAATTCGTAAAGATTCTTCGTCTGAAAAGATCCTCCAAGATCCCTCGATTCCAGTTGTCTTCTCTTTAATACCACAAGCCGTCTTTAGAATCTGAACAATCTTTATTTTTACCGTGGATCCCACAATCAACGGCTTTTGATAAATGTCCTACCATCTAATAAATACCCTTTTATCCATCGAATCACCAAAATAAATCTCTACAAATGTCGAGCTGAGTACTCACTGTGTATGTGTATTCGAGATTTCGAGGCAGGGAGGTTCTGTTTCTGTTTCAGAAATGGCGGCCAGTGTAGTGCCGATAGCCTACCAAAACAACACATCGTCAGTGCCGGACTGGCTAAACAAAGGAGACAACGCATGGCAGTTGATATCGGCGACGCTGGTCGGGATGCAGAGCGTGCCGGGTCTTGTCATCCTCTATGGAAGCATAGTGAAGAAGAAATGGGCAGTCAATTCAGCTTTCATGGCGCTCTACGCCTTCGCTGCCGTCTTAATCTGCTGGGTCACCTGGGCTTACAAGATGTCTTTTGGTGATCGTCTCCTCCCATTCTGGGGCAAGGCCGGTCCTGCTTTAGGCCAGAAGTTTCTGATCAGACAAGCGAGGTTGCCGGAGACGACGCAGTTATACCATAATGGAACCGAGGAGACGGCTACGATTGCACCGTTTTATCCTATGGCGTCCATGGTTTACTTTCAGTTCGTGTTTGCTGCGATTACAGTGATTTTGCTAGCTGGGTCGCTCCTGGGTAGAATGAACATCAAGGCTTGGATGCTTTTCGTCCCGCTCTGGCTCACCTTTTCTTACACAGTCGGTGCTTTCAGTCTCTGGGGCGGTGGATTCTTGTTCCACTGGGGCGTCATGGACTACTCCGGCGGCTACGTCATCCACCTCTCCTCCGGCATCGCCGGCTTCACGGCAGCTTATTGGGTTAGTATTAATTGCTGAATCTCATCGAATCATTAATTAAATTGTGGGGATGGAATTGGTCGTCTGGACTTGATGACTTGAGTCTGTTTACAGGTGGGACCGAGATCGACAAAGGACAGGGAGAGGTTCCCACCGAACAACGTTTTACTGATGTTGGCCGGTGCAGGGTTGCTGTGGATGGGTTGGGCTGGATTCAACGGTGGAGATCCTTACACGGCGAATATTGACTCGTCCATGGCCGTACTGAACACAAACATCTGTGCAGCGACGAGTTTGCTGGTGTGGACTTGCCTCGATGTCATCTTCTTTAACAAACCTTCGGTGATCGGAGCCGTCCAGGGAATGATCACAGGGCTTGTCTGTATCACGCCCGGTGCAGGTAATGCTGTTGTTTCTTTTTCTTTTGTTTTTTTACTACCTAGGATAGTGACCCGGGAGATCTGTTTCCCATTGGAAGGCGTTTCTCGGGAAATCCGTTCCCATTTCCCAGGGAAATGGAAAAGATGTGATTTCCGTAAATTGTGGGACTTTTAAAGAATGCAGCTCGACGAGTTGCCGTTGGATCGGGTTGAGGACAAAGTGACAACCCAGAGCCCGAGGCAAGCCAGCATTTATTCAGAGTTTATCCAAACCAACCCGAGTCTAAATTTCAGTTATCAAATGTTGGGTATAGAGTACAATCGTCAATCGGGGCCTGCTTGGGCCGGTTCAATCGGGTCATGCTGGGTTCGAACATTGTGAAAGCTCAAAAGCAGATAGCATTCTATTCTGCTCTTGTGCCTTTCTATTCGAAAACGATTTCATTTTATTCAATCAAAGAGTAGAAAGAAGTACTTTTATGTAAATCTAAAAGTACTTGTATGTGAGATTTTGAAAACCCAAATCGTTTCCTTCATGTATTCACATCAAGCACTTCTCAAGAGTTTTTGACAACATCACAAAATTTGTACATTGTTTTTGGGTTTCTGGGGGCTAGGGGTCCGGTTGAACCGAATGGATTAACCATTTTCTTGTGTGAGCACTGAGCAGTAATTAGGTTTTTACACATGGCACAACCATCCCTTTGAGTATTGCTTTTCTACTTAGACTGAAGCAATGAAGAGGAAGAACTTTTCCTTTGGAGCTGATGTGTTACAGTTTGGGCCTCCAATCACAATCAAACTAACTTTTAAGTTTTAAATAGCTCACACAAGCAAGCTTCCTCTGTGATTATTATATTTATACATATTCATAAACAATATCTTGTAATATTATCTAATTAAGAGATCTAGAAATAAGTGTGTTAGCTGATTTTAAATTTGACTTGGTAAGTTTGATTAATAAATGTGAGGTGTCCATTTGTACCTTTCTTGTTCTTCTGATTTAATTAGTCAAAATGAACCAATGTTTTCAATCTTGGGAAGTGAAATTAGGGATTCCATTAGTTTATTTGAACCCCAAGAGGCCAACAACCCTCAAGGGGGATGCACCCGTAGAGAGCCTCTAATTACAGCCCAGTTGTACCCATCCCATATGATCTATCAAAAAAAAAAAAACAAATCAACCAATCCCATGGGCTGAAGTGGAGATCTCCGGCCAATACTGGCGAGGTGCGGCGACCACCAAAACAACAGTGCACGTAAATCAGGTTTTAGTGTCAATTACTTGGCTGATTTGCTCATAAGACTCATAGGTCATTTCCCTAGAAGCAAATTTTCTCATTCTTTGTGTATTATGTGAAGAAAGTTTTGAACGTATCAGCTTCTGTCCTTGTTCTATCTCGTTTTCTGCTCAAGAAATTCTTGGTAAGTTGAGCTCAGAGTTGTGTCAAGGGCCCCATAATGAACCAACCTCCTTCCAGTAATTTTCCTTCAAAAATACTGACTTGCATGGGGTAAGTGGGACCCGATGTTTTAAAAATAAACTCAGAATCAGAACCGTTTTGGCCACCGTTTTTTGGGTCAACGATTTGATCATCTGATTTGAATGGATAGTACATTCTAATAAAAAATTTAAAAGAATTAAAAAAAAAGTAATTAAAATTAAAAAACAGTCAAAAACCATTGTATAGGTTAACGGGTTGACAGTTTAACTGCCTGGATCAATGAATTATTAATCAATTCAACAATTTTTTACCAAAAACCTGATTTAGAGTAAAATAGAACCGATTGCCTGAATGATTATCAGGCCGAAAGATCCGACCATCTAAGTCAAAGGTAGTTCAAAAACACTGCCTGGGCTTGAAAAATGAGCTAGTTCCTCCCATGCAATTAATGACTCGCTCCATTTTTTTCTTTTTTTCAATTTTGAATTAGGGAATGCCTGTGGTTGGACCAATGTGATGTTCTTTATTTTATTTTTAGGTGGAGATGTGATGTATGGTTAACGACCATAGCCATTATCTGCTTTTGGTCAGCTTAGAATTTTTCTCTTTTAGATAATATCTAATTATCTTTTAGGAAAAGCAACAATAGTCAATTAGTTCCATCCTGATTTCTCAGGGAATACTTTGTTTCATTCAATTTAGTAGTATATTTATTGATTCTCCTTAGTAAGGTTCTAACCGGTGAAGTTAGTAATTCTAGTTCCCACTGAGATGGGATCCAATTAATCCCACCTTCTCTCTCTCCCCCTGGGTAGTGGGTACTACCTAGTTTGTCTAGCAATATAATAATATTAAAAATATTAATAATAATAATTCTACCATTTTTTGCTACCAATTCTACCCTTTTATTAAATCTTATACAGTGGATCATTTAACACATGGTTTTCAAAATTGGACTAGATTGGACAATCAGACCGGAAAAAGCTCAAAAGGTCAAAACTGTGTAGGCCTTTGATAGTGGGTACTACCTAATTTGATGTCACCATGGGAATTTGGATCATCATAAAGGTCAAAACTCAAAAGCATGATTCCGTATAAGCAAAGCCAGATTACAAACATTGAGATATGTTTTCATTCTTTCTTGTGTAGGCCTTGTTCAGGGATGGGCTGCAATTATCATGGGAATATTATCAGGCAGCATTCCTTGGTTCACAATGATGGTCGTCCACAAGAGGTCGAAGTTGCTTCAAAAGGTCGATGACACCCTCGCAGTGTTCCACACACATGCCGTCGCAGGCTTCCTAGGAGGTCTCACCACCGGAATCTTTGCTGAGCCAGAGCTGTGTGCACTCTTCTTGGCAGTGACCAACTCTAGGGGTGGAGTCTATGGGGGTTCTGGTGGGGTTCAAGTCCTCAAACAGATTGTTGGGGCTGGTTTCATCACTGGCTGGAATGTTGTGATTACTACAATTATATGCTTGGCAATAAAGTTGGTGATGCCTCTGAGAATGTCGGAGGAGCAACTGTTGATCGGAGATGATGCAGTCCACGGCGAAGAAGCCTACGCGCTGTGGGGCGATGGAGAGAAGTATGACTCCACCAAGCATGGCTGGTATTCTGATGACACTACACACAATAAAGTGGCCAGTGGTGTTACTCAGATGGTCTAGGTTTAAAGAGAAGTGGGTGCTTCTTGTGAATTATAATAGGAGATATATAGTCAAATTCATGTTCATAAGGTCGGTGATGATTTGTAGGGGTAAATTAATTCTTGTTCATATGTTTATAAGTTGCACTGAATTTTTGAGTTGATAGAATGATGCTTTGAGGGTTTCATAGTGTTGTTGGTTTCAGATTTGTTTTATGAGGACAATCAATTTGGAATCCATGATAAAGTTCTCGAGCTAAGATTCAAAGGGCTAAGAGCTGCAAAGGGATTCCAAAGGAATTCAGATTGGATCTTGAATAGCATTATTAAGTTAAACTCAAAATGATAAAAAGAAAAAACATATATTATTAATAGAATAAGCTGAAAATAATAACTTTGATATATATTGTATATCATGAACAAAACGAATAGAACATAAATTGTTTATAACTTGAACCTACTGATCATTGTAAAAGCATAATATTTAAATCAATTTTAATAATAAATACAATATAAATTTTGAGTATATAAACATAAATATTTAAATAAAATCAAATTGGATCAGATAGGGATCATATTCAATCAAATTACGAAGGGGTCGAATTAGGATCACCCTTAACTGGATCGAATTTGAATTCGAACTTTGGACAAAGGAAAACCATTTGCAGCTCTATTAAGGATGTGGTTAGGTACCCTCTTGAGCTGCATTGTCTCCATGTACAGAGGCCTAATCACATGTTATAAATGGAATAGACCCAAAAATTCATCTGGATTTTTTTTTCTTTGGAATGACCTCAATTGTGGGTGGAGAACTCTAAAACAAAACAAAAAAAAAAAAATGAAGTCAGTTTTCTGATCTTCTGTATGTGTGTGATCACTTCTGTAAGACCCCTTATGATGGTTTTGATCTTTCTATAATTAAGATAGAGAATTTTAGACAACTCTTTTTTTTTTCTTGAAGGACAATTTCAGATAACTCATTCTCTTTCTTGTAACTTGGATTCTCTTGAAACTTCAATCACATTTTGGAGCAGACCAGTTTTGTCCAAGTGAACAACCATGGAAATTAATCTAGTGGCTCCACACCACTCAAAGAAAAGGACAAAACCATGGGGGTACTTTTATTGACACAAGTATCCCTGCCGCATTGTCCTTTGCCATAGATGCAGTGATGTACTGAAGTAGACCTGTTCTAGTTGCCTCAAACGAGATTCCAGTGTGAAAACTTTGTATATAAGTCAGAAAAAGATGTCTAATTACACCACGTTCAATATTTAATTCAGTCAGTTGGGATAAATAGAAGATAACTGGTCCAAAATTTCCAAAAATAATTAATGGTCAGCTTGGAAAGAGTACAAATGCATATATATATATATAATATAAATACATACAAAATAATATAAAATATAAGGTTTTGCTCTCTATTTGTATTCCTTTTAAACTGAGCTTAAAGGATAAAAAAAGTTATAAGGTATCCTTAAGATGTTTTTTTGAAAAACTCAGGGTATCTTTTAAGTCTTTTACCCTTATTAAATGTAGAGTAATTTCAAGATCGACATCAAGTTTTCAAATTCTAAGGGTCCATTTGGCATATTTTTCTATGCGGCCTTTTGGTTGTTTATAAGCTAGGTAGATCGATTTTCGATCTATTTCTGTTTGGCATATGGAAGATCTAGCTGCCAAAAGCCAGAACACCAAAAAGACATGAAAAGCCTATTTTGGGCTGATTTCGGGTAACTCCAAGTGAAGCTTTTCGTGTTTTTTGCGTTTTATTTTCGTGCGCAAAGACACAAAAAGGCATGCATCTACCAAACGTGCTTTGAACTATTTAGATCTTCATGCAAAAGCTCAATGCATCTTTTGATTGTCAGAGCTATCAGAAGATCTTCTCAAAAAAACATACCAAACAGAATCCTTCAAATGTCTTCTTTGTATCCCTCTATGAAAAGACTCTTCTCGGGAGATGTTGATTGATCCCTAAACAGATTAAATAAAATCAGATAGGTTGATTCAAATTTAATTCAATTTTATTCGGATTCATATCAGATTCAATTAATTGAAGTTGGATTGCAATCGGATATTTTCTTTTCTTTTTTTTTCTTTTCTTTTTCGCAAAAGGCAATCGGATATTGATTAGCATTAATAAATTAAAGTGAAAATGCTCAAAATATTGTCTTATTAATATAATAAATTAGAGATAAATTTAATATTGTATTTAATGAACAAAATGAATTGAAAATCAACTTGTTTGGAACCTAAACCTAATATATAACATCCAAAACAACTTTAGTACTACGTATATTAATACAAATTCTAAGTATATAAGCATATATACTAAAATCAAATTGAATGGGATAATATAGGATTGTATAGGAATAGATTCATACTCAATCCAAACATAAATTCATTGAATATTTTATCATCCTTAACAGGATCAAGTTCGAAATCAAATAAAAGGATACCATTTGCAGCTCTAATCTTGGTAGAGTTGAGGTTCAAATAGGATTCAAGTTGAGACGATCCGGCACCAAACCCATTGGGGTGGGGGTGGAGGACATGTAATTTTGAGATAATTATAGAACGGTGGCAGGGAAACCAAGAAGAAGAAGAAGAAAAAGAAGTTCATCGGTCACATTGTTGCAGCAGTTCACCGGTCACCACTTGTACTATATTCCTCTCTGATTCTCTCTTGCTCTCTCCTTCTATCTAGCTTCTCATCTAGACCTGGCAAAAAGTTGACTCAACTCCCGAACCAGCTCAATCCAACCCGAAAAAACAGGGTTAGGGTCTCATATTTAGTTACCCGAATGTGAAAATGACCCGATTTGACCCAATTCAAAAAAAATCGGACTGGGTTGGGTTCGGCAATGGGTCAACCCGCTGACCCAATTGTCAAGTCTAATTGGGACTATTTATGCATTGTTAGAAGTTTCTACTCTTTAATTTTTTTTCTCTTTAATCTTTACTATTTATTATTTGCTCTTTAAATTGTTAAATGTTCAAGTTTTTTATTTTATACTTGAAAGTTTAATGTTAATTCTTTTAATTTTGATATTTTTCATGTAATTATTCTTTATTTTTTTTAATTTCAATTATTTTTTGGGATGATCCAAATTGACCCATGGGTCAAACTCTAACCCGAACATTTAGACAGTGTTTGGTTTGAAGGAAAAAGTAGGGAAAGGAAGGGAAAGGTAGGAAAATCTTAACAAAACATGTATAGGTTTCTCTACCTTTCCCTACTCTTCACCTCAAACCAAACATAAAATTAGGGATAGGGTCTAACATTTGACAATCCAACCTAAAATTCAATCCAACCCAAAATCAACTCAAAGTACCTTGACCCAACCCGAACCCGACCCACCCAACCCAATTGCCAGGTCTATCATCTGTTCATTTTTTCTCTTTTTTCTCTCAAATGTTAGTAGTTTTTCCTCACCTTTTGTGATTCAAAATTCTCCACCCTTTTCCTCTCTCTCTCTCTTCGCTCTATCTCAACTATCTAAGAGAGCTCAGACTCAGAGATCGTATTTTGTTAATTTCTCAAAAAAAAATCATTTTATGTTTAACCTGTGAACCATTTTTCAGGTCAAAAAATTCGACAGTTAAATCAGGTCAAGAGTTTGTTCATCAAATCAATATGTTTTTTATATTTTTTTTATTTTCATAATAATGGGTCAGTGATAAACAGAACTAGAATTGTAGTCAGTTTTTAAGTGGAACGGTTTGACCACTCAAGTCAACGACCGTTTTAAAACATGCCTCAAATATCATAACCCATCTATTTCACCAAGACATGGGTTTTGTTCGTGGATTGGATCAAAATCAGTTGTGGCTCCCCAAATCGGGTTCAACATTTCTATTTAATTTAGGCTCCGGGCATTCTTTTCGTACGGTATATCGATTATTTACGAGCCTGAGAGACCATGATACCTAATGATTAAGTCTTTTTTTTATTTGGTTTGCAGTAGATCTAACCACCAAAAGATATTCGTCGAAAAGATGTAAGAAGTCTAAAATACACTCGTTTTAGGAAATTTCAAATGAAACTTTTGTGTTTTTCTTTTTTTTTCTATTTGTCTTCATACGAAAAAATACATATTAACCAAACGGGTTTCAAGCTGCTTAAATCTTAATACAAAAAATCAATATATCATTTTATTGTCAAAATTACTAAAAAATATTTCCAAAAAAGCTTACCAAACGTGCCCTTAACAAAATCAGATAAACTTTTTTCTTCTGCAACACATTACACACCCTATCCTCTTAATAATAAAAGATTAATAAAGGATAATGGAGTAGGCGCATCCCATTACCCGTTGACATCTTTTTTTCTCTTCTTTGATGCAAAACATCCTTTCCTTCTTACATAAATAACTTATAAGGGTAATGAATAGGTCACATTTCATTACCCGTTGACACCTTTTCCTCTTTTTCCCTTTTTTTCTTTCTTTTCCCATCTTTCTAACACCTTAACAATAAAACACTGAAAAAGGGTAATGGATTAGGCACATCCCATTACGCATTACCCCTTTACACACTATCCTTCTTTATTAAGCCTAATAATAAAAAACTAATAAAGGGTAATGGATAAGGCACATCCCCCATTTTTTTATGAGGGTAAAATATAAAAATCCTCTCCTATGTTTTCTCACAATCATATAAACCCTCATGTTTTTAACCTTTCATAATTTTGAGAATTCCATGTATTAGCTTTTTCTAAAAAATAAATGTTGACATAACTTTGTCCGCATTGGTTAACCAAAGATACCTTCACCATAAAGTCAATTTGAAAACACTGGCACAATGTTAGAATTTCGTAGTGCGTCGATTGAATTGTGCGAGTGTGACTACCAAAGATAAAGTTGATCAACTCTCCAGAGTCTTACCAAACAACTACTTCTTGGCATTTTGGATTTCTCAGCTCATGTAACGCCATAAGCCACTACGTGAAAACCCTCCCAAACTTTGGACCAGATTAAGAGCTTCAAAATCAATGGATGCTTGAATAATGTGCTTTCTAGCGAGATTTCAACAGCATTTTAAGAGCTCAATAAAAAGTTATATGCCGTCCTTCCTAAATTCATCAATGGTTTGCCATAACTATATAGGCTTTGCAACTTTGGGTAGGGAGCCAAGTTTTAGCTGAACTCAAGCTCAATCCTAAGAATTTGGCCCAAGGCTCAAGCTTAGCCTAAGTCGAAG